ATATATAAATTATTCTTCAATGATTTTATCTTTTTGAGTTATTTCTGGATTAATCTTTACCAAATATTTTATTTTTATTTTTACACATATACATAAAATATTCATTTAAAAATTTCACGTCTAAATATTTTGAAAACAATGTATTATCAGAAAAAATATTAAATACAAAAGTTTCTTACTTTTTTTTTCAGAAGAATAAGAAATTGTAAAAAATATAAGTTTTTATTTGAAAAAAAATTGAATAATATATTCAAATAATAATACTCAACAAATAAAAAATAAATAACATAATTATTGTGAAGATAACATAACATAAAAATTCAGGAAGCTTATCTTAAAATTTTTGTATTTAATTTTTTTCTAATAATACTAGTTTTCAAAATATTTAGGTAAAGTTCTTTTATGTAAAGTTTTTAAATGAACACTATAAACATTTCTGTATACTTTGAACATTTATTTTAAACGAATCATTCCGAAATCTGTTTCTTGAGAAAAACAAAATAGGTCAGATTCAGATTCTGCAAAGAATGGCGAATTATGAACGACAGGTTTTATCGAAATATTATAAAATAAATTTTAATTTTCTAGCTTAAAATCAATATTCGAACTTCGAATACAATATTAATATAGCTGAGTTGAATTATTATTATATATTTTTCGTCGTATTTTAAATTTAAAGAAGTTAGAAAAGGAATGGATTTTAAATCTAAAATTTTAATTTCTGTTATTTATTAGTTTCCGAGATATTAATAAAAAAATTTTGTGATACAATACATTGAATACTATACAAATATTAAATATTTATCTTCATCGTTAAGTATATGCGAATAATCAATGACATAATACAATAATGATATCAATCTTAATATGCATAGAGTATAAATAAAATCCGTCAACTTCAGTCGTCCAAAACATATAAATTAAATATAAATTTAATGTAAGAATGTTTATTATTTTTAATAAATGTACAATTCTTCATCAATAATAACTAGTAATATCTATAGTTATTATTATAATAGTAGGTATTATTTTTATTATTTTTTCATTCATTTCAATTTCAATAATTAAAAAATGTTTTAATATATCGTATGCAAACTATCGTATATAATATCATATGAGTGTATTGTATTATATTATCATATAGAAATAGAAAAGTTAGTTAGTTTTGATTTGAACCATATATATTTTTCTATCGATTTTTCTATCCGATTTTTCTATCGGTTGCATCGTCATCACATCGTTAAAATATAACATATAAGACATTCTAGTCCTGAGTAGAATTATTATCGTTAATTATATCATCGGCATATTATGTCATACTTAACACTCATGATCATATTGTTATTACGAAGACTATATTAGTTACGTCTGTATGAATAAAAATCAATATATTGTATTGAAAATTTATTATTAATAAAAATCCAAAGCTAAAATTTTTTGATTTAGGATTTATTCTCCTTCTTTTTTTTAAATTTCATGTTTTTTATTGAAAGCGTATGCTTTTCGGAAGAATATTCAAATTTTTAATTTGAACTTAAATATATTTTCGGTTATAATGTAATTAATTGATTATATAATAAAGGATATTTCATTGATTTTGATGATTTTAAAATATATTATAAAATATAAGATTTTTAAGAATTTTAATGATTACCTGGAAAAAGGACTTATTTTATCGATTTTGATTTTTAGATATGTTATAAGAAATTTTGAAAAATTTTTTTTCTACGTATAATTGCCATTTGGCTTTTCGAGATAATTGCAAAAAAGATTACATACTATTATATAGAATTTTCTTTTATACATATACATATACATGTACGTAATCCATGATAATGGATAATGAATAATTAATGGATAAAAAAATTTAGTTTCTCATAGATTATAATGGACTTAAAATTTTTTAAATTCAATGCCAACAAAAATAAAATATAAAAATCTTTAGACGAATACTAATACTTATAACGAATACTAATATCATATTTGATTATCATAATTATTTGTTTATATTTTATTTTTGTATTTTATTTTATTTATTTCACGGATTCTTCGAATACACGATTTTATTCACTTGAATTTTTTCATTGAAACATTTTAAATTCATTATAATCCATAAGAAAATAATTATTTAACTCGTATATTTATTACATATTTTGAATGCTGCCCACTGAGACATGTTTATACAAAGAATAGAAAGGCGGTTGAATGTTTGCAAATATGTTGTCAGGGATGAAATATAATGTAAAATATAATATAAATAAAATTTTATATAATAATAATAACAATTTTTTTTTAATATGTTTAAAACTGGATTATTATTCTAGAGAAAAAATATATAATATGTTTAATATATATATTAAACAATAATAGTATTGTAATATATTTTAAAATCTTTAAACATATACTGTTTTTTTTATATAATTATTATATTATAAATTAAATTAGTGAACATATCTCTCAATAGTATAAAATTTTTATTGCTTTTTGAAGTTTTATTTTTTATTTAAAAAATGTGATAAATGTTTTATTATTCATATTCGTATTGTACAATGAACATCATTAAGTTTAAATAATCAAAAAATCATTAAGTTTAAATTATCAAATGTTTTACAGGATTAGAAATTTTTAAAAAAATACTTATCTCTCTTATTTTTTTATTATTCTGTTAGTTTTTTTTTGTTTTATCTTTGTTTTCTAAATAAATATTACTTTTTAATATTTTTTATATTAGATGATTTTGGCTAATTTTTCGTTTAGATTACATGGGTAATACATGTTATTTCGTTTCGTTTCGTATCCCATGTTTTCAGGATTAATACTTTTTTTTTTAAAATATGCCTAAAATATTTAGAATACAAAAATCATAATTATTGAATAAAAAATCTAATGTTTAAGATACAAAATAAAAAAGTATATAATTTTATATAAATTTTTTCAAAGATTTCGAATAATTTAAATTTCAACGTAGGATATATGCGACGATTGAGTGATACTCTATATACTTAGGATATCTTTTTGCATTATTGAAATTCGATAATAACCTAACTTTTTTGAATCACATGATTCTAATATTTTTTTTGAATTAATAATAAAATATTTCAATTAAATAAAAAATTTATCTTTTATTATTATTACATAAAATACTATTCAATGCAATAATTATGTTACTGTTTTAATTAATTTCTTTTTACAATATAATTATATTAATTAATTATTTTTTAAATTATTTATTTTTATTAATTATTTGTTTAAAATAAAAATTAAATACCAAATGCTCATTGACTTACTTTATTTAATTTTTTATATTCTTCAAATTAATGAACTTTTCAACTTTAAAATATCATTTTTATATTTTTACATTATTTTTAAAAATATTTGATATATTTAATGTCGTGATAAAAAATGAATTTTATTAATATTAAATATAACATTTTTTATATATGTATAATATATACAATAATTAACATTATCTAATTATAATAATTATTCGGAATAGGAGATTTTGAATTTGAGATTTTTTAATATATTATAAAATTCAACAAATTTTTAAAAAATTCCGAATAAATTTTTCGTTTGGTTTTAATTTTCAAAATATTTAGAAAAAACAATTATTACTACTATATTAAATTCTTTTATATGTATATATCTACGGCATATAAAATGTATAATAGATAAACCGGTAAAAAAGCTAATTTTTTCATTGTGAAATTAAAATATTTCAAATTCTGAGCTTAGGTATTCCATGAATTCGAAATATAACATTTTATATTTATACTTTCTGAAGAACTAGATTTTTATAGTTTATTTATAGTTACACATTTTAGTTGTCATATGTTTATATTAATAGAGAATAAATAGCAACTGTATATTTATATCATAATATGTATAAGAGAAATTCTATATAATAGTAACAATCTTTTTTTGCAAATATTTTGAATTGAAAAGCTAAGACTGAGCGTCCCTATTATGCATATTAATTATTTACACACAAGAGGGGGGAGGAGAGAGAGAGAGATTTGTTATATTGTAAAAATTAATTTTTACAACTTATTCAAAAATAATTAGTCTAATTATACATATTGGATACAGACGATTTAAATATTGAAATATGCTGCTTATCTAAATGTTATCTAAATTGTCGAATGGTGATGATCATAGTGATATTTTTATAATATAAGATATCCTATATAAAATTCAGCATTATATAAAGACAGGATCATAAATTGTAACAGAACTGTAATTCTTGATTGTTTTCAAGGATTTTATATATTTTATAATTTGGATATACATTTAGTAATTAGGCATCCTTTTTTTTTTATTTCTCTATTTCTATTTCTTTCAATAGTTTTTGTTCTATTGCTATTTTTATATTATATTATATTTTTATTTTAATAATCGATTAATTTCGAAAAATTTAATTATCTATAAAGGAATTAAATATATATTTATCAAGAGATGGCCGGCATATCAGAATAGTCCTTACATTGAAATTATAAGAGAGACTTATATAAGATATCTAAGATAGTATTCATCATGTAATATTTGGATAAACAACATTCAATTATTCAATATTCAATATTAATTATTTTATTGTATTAATTATTCACTATACGATAAACCGAGCTAAATATTTTTGTATTAATATTTCAAAAAAAATAATTGATTAAAATTAAAATTTTATATTTGAAATCTACTTTTTCTTTGACATCACTCTTTCAAATTTCAATTATTGGTATCAATTTTCGATTAATAAACATTCTTATTTTTTATAATTATATTCTAAAAAGTCTTTTTAAATTGATTAATTAAATATGTTTTTTTTTCATCGGATTTCGTATACGACACATATATTTACATATATGAATATAACTTTCTAAGTTTTACAAATATATATTAATATAGATAATAAATAAATATATTAACATAGATAAGAAAAAAGTTAGAAAAATAAAAAAAAAATTTAATGCTTAAAAACGAGGTAAATTTGGTTGTTTCTGCAGATATGGGGAGTGTCGTAGGCAGTAACGTAAACATAAGCAACGTAACGACGAAGAGGATGGACTCAACGACGTTCCGGCCAGAAGCGACGTCGACCCTCAGTGAGCGGGAGCAACTTAAAATTGAATTTTACAAAACTTATGATGTTATGACCGGGGTCAGAATCGCAGCGACTCTCGGTGGTTTTTTCGGTCTTATGATCCTTCTGCTTGTTTATAAAAGCAGGCAAGTTATTTTCTTCACCATCCTTGTTTTTTTTTTTTTACGCTATTTTACAAAATGTAATTTTAGATAAATTTTATTCAAGATTTGAATATTAAATTGCATTTGTGAAAATTATTAATGTATATTTAAACAAAATTTGTTTGGACATTCTTGTGAAAGACATTAACCGATTGACTTGAAATTTATTGAAGGTGAAAAGCGAAAGGAAAAGGCACTTTAAATATAAAATTTTAACTTTAACTAATATTAATAAGTATCTTTCAATTCTATACATTCAATGCTTACAGATGTTACTACAACATATTGAATGCTGCCCATTTTGATATTATTAATTTATTTATTTATTGACATTATTACAACTATTTTCGTTATAATAATTATTGTCATCAATTGTTAAATAATTGATGATAAGATAGTAATTTCAATTTCGATTTTATAGAATTAATTTCCTATTTACAAACTGTGAACATATCACGATGGTTAGTATCCAAAATATGTAACAAATATAAATGTATACTAATATTTATCATTTACTATTTAATATCTTATTAATAGAGAGCTTGAATATTTCATTAATTTTTCAGATCTGATCACGATTTCTTCGAAATACGAAAATAAAATATAAAAAAATTCTCAGACAATCGAAATTATATTGACCAATGATAGCGATATTAATTTCATACTTAGTATTTATAATAACATCAATTATTGCAATCTTGGTCCAAGAATTATTTTATTTTCACATTTCACAAATCCATTTCAAATTTATAGATAAATACTAAGTATAATAATATTAATTCATTCTTTATATATTTTGGATAATATTGATGCATACGCATTATCATGGACATATATACGTATAGGCAGCATTCAATGTACCGAAAATATACTTTTTATTAATATTTTGGAAACTAATAAATATCAAAGCTACAATTTTATATTTGAGTTTCCCTTTTCTTTCCATCTCTTTAAATTTTTAGTCAATCGATCATGGTTTTTGGAAAGTTTTTTGTTTTATAATTGAAAAATATTTACAAAGCTTAATTCATATTTTGGAAATATTTCGAAATTTTTTAAAACACGTTTGTTTTAAAATTTTAGAAAATGTTTATTACAACTTTTATGAAGGTTTATTTCTAATGTTGTAATGTATATGTAATTTTTAAATTTATGTGTTTAATTTTGTTTTTGTAAGATTTTTAAAAAAATTTATCGGTAATAATCTACAAAAAAAAGACTCCGAATTTGATGATTTTGAAATATATTATAGAAGATGAAATTTTGAACTTTTCCCTATAATAGCCGCTCAGCTTTATATTTTTCAAAATATTTACATATTAAAAATGGCTATTATACTAAAGTTTGCCTATGTGTATGCATCTGTTATTATGCTTATGTATCACATTTATTAATTGTTTATGTAAACACATACGCTTAGAGCTCACAATATATAATAGAGTTAATATCACCATATTTAGCATCTATTTATAATAATAATATTCCACAGATCATTTGCTTTAAGATTCGGTCAATCAACGGTTATTTTATATGAGATTATTTTATATCCGAAGAATCCGTATAATGTCCAAGATCAATATGAATTAAAATTCAAATATTTCCAGTCCATTATATTATAAAATTCACGAAGAAATAATTTGATATACTATTTATGATATAATCGCTATTATATATTTATATAAAATAAGTGACGGTTATGCATACATTATTATGGACACATATACATATAGGTGAAATTTTATGTAATAATAGCGATATTTCTTTTACACATATTAAGAAATTTATTTATATTAAGAAATTATAAAGCGGCGAATATATAGATAAGGAAAAATTGTTCAAAATCTTATCCTCTATAACATACTTTGAAATTATTGAAATTGATAAAAAATTCTGTTTTTTTTTTTTAGAAAAATTGCTTATTTATTTTAATTTCTAATTAAGATAGATAAATAAAGAAATGAATTTTCTTGAATAATTAAACATCATTTTTATTTCAAAGTAGATGAACAATTTTCAAAGATATTTGAAGAAAATTATATTTATGTTATTAAAAAAGATATACATATAAAAGAAAAATAATAAAAGAAGAGTATGAAACAGATGTAAATCGAGCAAACAATTGGAGGATCCAAGATTGACTGCAGCTGCAGCCGCAGCTGTAGCTGAAGCAGAAGCTGAGGAAAGAGCGCTTGCAGCTGCTCTCGAAGCCATTGCTAGATTACCACCTAGACCAGATCGGGGTCCTAGAAGATCTCTCTGTGTCGAGGTCAGTTTATTTATAAAGCAAATTAACAATAATTATTTACAAAAAGATACATTATCGTCATTTTCAAAAATCTTCATACGTGTTGTCAAGGTTAATGTTTTGAGTTGTTTATTACATTACCGCTAACTTTTAAGTTTCTGATATTCATAAAAATATTTTTAATACAGAATATTAATATATTAGATATCATTGAAAAATCAATTCTAGAAATCAAAACAATCATAAAAATGTATAAAAATATTAGTTGAAATTTATTTATTATATTATGAATAATTGAAATTGTATCAAACGAAACAGTATTAAAATAATATTATTCTCATTCATCGCCGTTTCTTTCCGCTTATTTCCGTCTCATTTTATTTAATGTAAATCTAAATTATTGCTTATAATTTAATAAATAAATTTCATTTTCAACCATTTTCAAACATTTTTTCATATCATTTTTTATATTTTTTTTTTTCTTTTCGATCCTCCAAAATTCTCTCACGAATTCTCTCAAAAATATTAACATTTTATATATCATACTTTTAAAAAATATAGGTTTAGAATATATTTTGAATATTTCAATTAGTTTTGAATCATAAATAAAGAAAAAAGTTACATACATATATAAAATAAATATATATTAAAAGAAATTCTTGGAAATTATAATATTACAATATATAACCTATAAATATTAATACAGTATAATAAATATTATTTCATGTCAGCATTGCGCATACTATCGATAATATTCTTATAATAATGATTCTACTTTAACCAATTAGCATATTTTAATAATATATGAACAGGCTTTCTGACTTAACTCAATCAACATCAATTTAATGAAAGATAATCTAAAAATAAGATAAATTTTATATTTCATCTTTCCATCTTAGTTAAGCTAGTTAGATAGAATTAGATAGAAATATAAATAGCCATTATATTAAAATCAAATCATAATTATATAATTTAATTAAAATTTAATATTTTAATCTATAAAGTAAAAAACTATAATATTAATAAAACTTTTTTTGTTAATAACTTTCTAACATAATGATTATAAAAAATTTTTAAAGATTAGAATGATAATTTTTAAAACATATTTCAAGATATTTCAAAAATTATTGAAATTTAAAGAATAATATTTTTAAACTGTATAATTATTTTTGATTTTTTTTTTACAAAAATTAAAAATATTTTTGGAATATGTTGTTTACAAAAAAATGTTAACATATATTCAACATATTTCAAAATATGATATGTTCCTTTATAAATAATTAAATTAATTTGATATTACATAAAAATCATATGTCTATTATTTTGAGTAATTTTCTAAAAAGTATACACATTTAAAAATTTGAAAAAAGAAAATATAAATTTTAAATTTAAAATTTTAGTTTGAAATATTTATTAGTAATTGAAATATTAATGAAAAAATTTTTGACACAATACATTAAATACTACTTAAATAAAAATAAATGAAGTTGCAGAAAAATTACTGATTTTTCAATTTAAATAATGTTATAGAGGATAAGATTTTAAACAATTTTTTCTTATACATATAAGTAGCACTCGAACTTAATTTTTGAGATTTGCAAAAATTGCTATTTGTTGCAATTAGATTAAAAATAAAAATACATTATAGAAATAGGAATATATTTAATTATAATATTAATATTTAATGTTTGAACTTAAAATAGCTTGCATACCTCATATTTCTATGATCGATTTCCAACAATATTCCAATATTTGTTCATTGATGATTAGCAAAATCAGCATATTGTCACATTGTTATCAATTCTATGATCTTATTGCCAAAATTTTATTACATAGAATATGTATATCTCCATTAGTTTAACTATAATTGAGTGACGATTATATAAATAAGAAAAAATTTAAAGTTTAAAATGTTGATTTCTACAACATATTCGAAAATTGAAAGAAACGATTTTTTTTAAATAATTACTATTTAAAATATTGTTCAAAATACTTTTCAAATTATTTTTTCCATTATTA